AGTGGATTGTTAGTTTTTAAGATTTTATCTTCAGATTTTGATGGTGTCAGATTGTGAATTGGATAAGTTTTGAGCCTTGTGCACTTGCGGGACCCGTCTCACGAGTGCACGGCGTCTGTCACACCTCGGATTCGGGTTCTGGGGCGTGACAAACATATTCGGACCGAAAACAGTCTGGATATAGTTTGAGAAAGTCACCGGTTAGGCGAAGAACTTTTGAAAGTTATAAATAAGTCCAAACTTTTCAAACCGAAAATGGTCTGTACATAGTTTTCGAAGCAGACTGATTGAGGCCGCAAGTTTTAAAAGTTACTGTTGGGTCCTCCATATTCGGACTGATCCCGGTCCAAATATATTTGGTATGCCTCTTTCCGCCACATTTTCATACCGTTTTTGGTCCGTACATATTTTATTATTTTATTATTTTATTTTTTTCGAACCAATCTCGGTTCACTTATTTCAATTTTTAAATAACCATCGATATTTTTTTACTAAAATATCCAGACCAGTTTCGGTCTGTATATTATATATATGCGGATCGATTTTGTGTCAGTTTGTATATTATATTTTTTCGTATCAGGTTTTTTCAGATCAACTATAGGGATCAATATTGGTCCGGATATATATATTCGGACCGATTGTTAATATATTCAGACCAAAATTTCGGTATGAATATCCGATTCCTGCAGTAGTGTACTTTTTTTTTATTATACAACTCAAAATTTTAAAAAAATGCAAAAAGTTGTTGTGCTTAATTACAAATATTTGAGAAAACAATGGCTTATCAGGAATTTCTAATGCCTTAATTCAACATTCAAAAAAGAATATCATTGTGAATTGTTTATAAGAATGATGATCAACTATTACTGAAATTTGAGTTTAAATTTTTGGATTTTGAGTGCTTGTAGACCTTTGTTTAAAGAGTTATTAGATTAATAATAAATTTTAACTCAAGTCATTTTAATTGGTAATAAGGGAAGTTCTTCCTGGTAGATGTGAGGTTTTGATGAAAGACCTTAATACGGACCGTTGGAAGTGTCCCATTCGTTAGCTAATGGCTTGGAGTGGAGAGTAGTGGTATG